AGTGTGTTTTACAGTCTCTGAAAGCCCTCTAGAAGGTCAGTTATGAGTTGTTTCCACTTTGTTGTCAGTGAGAGAGAGAGGAAGTGTTGGCTATCTAAATGTGAGTCTCCAGACCTGAATCCCCAGCAGAAACATTTTTCCCTACTAGTTTATTTATAATATTCAAATACAAATTTGAACAAATTCTTTCAATTTCCCTCACCCCCCCAACCCATCAAATTGTACAACTCAACAATTAATCTCCCCTTCCCGCTGCACATCCACATCCCGCTGCTTCCAGCCTCTCCCACCCCTCCTGGATCCTTATACTCATTCTACAATAACAGTTTTATACAATATTTATCCTTGTGGGACTGAGTTCACTCAGCATAATGCTGTCCAGTCCCTCCCAAGTTAGGTAATAATTTACAGAGTTATTGTTCTGCATGTTGCATAGTATTCCATTGAGTGAATGTACCATAATTTCTCAATCCATTCATTTGTGGTTGGATTTTGGGGCTGTTTCCATGTTCTTGCAATGGTGAATAATGTTGCTATGAACATTGGTGCAGAAACATTTTATCACACACTTACTTGACCCACAGGTGGCGAGGAAAGGAACAAGGAATGTCCGGCTGTGATGTCCCTTGGGGGTAGCTGTCACTTTAGAAATACATCCATTCCAATAGAGAGGAAAAAGCTGTTACACATGGTCCTGTTCCTGGTAACTAGAACTGCACCTGGCAAACCAAGGTCATCAGTTTTATTCCAACTCATACTGTCTCTATTGGGCAAGTTCTAACCCAAAGAGACCCCTTGGGTGCCTGAGGCTGTAACTCTGTACAGAAGCTGAGTGGCACATCTTTCTCTTGCAGAGTGGCTGGTGGATTTGAACCACTGACCTTTGGTTTAGTAGTCAGCCTCTTAACCACTTTGCTACCAAAGCTTTTCAGACCTGAAAACCCAAGAAAAATCAAAGTCCACTGCTGTTGAGTTGATTCCAACTCATAGCAAGCCTATAGATCGGAACAGAACGGCCTGGAGACATTCCAGGGCTGTAAGTTCTTGCAGGAGCAGACTGCCTCGCCTTTGTTCTACAGAGCAGCTGAGGGGTTCAAACCATTAACCTTTTGGTTTTAATTTAACCAACCAAATTCTTGAACCACTGTGCCACCATGTCTCCTGGCTCTGATAAACAGCAACGTAGATGCTGAACAGAGTTTAGCATATGTATCAAATGGAATTTTATTTTTTCTGTTACCTTGGGCAACTCTTGTCTGAAACTTAGGACTAAAAATACTTGAACCTCAGGGGAGTGTCAGCAGGATAATGATGTTAGATTTAACTTTGAATTGCTGTAAGTAAGTAGGAAATTAAAGATTGCAACATTCTCTCAGCTACCCTCTGCAAATATGAGGGAAAAGCCACATTTATCAGCTTAATGACTGAAGAAGGAGCAAAGTTTATAACTATGTCCTTCTGCTTAGTAAATCTAAGTTCCAATGGTGTAGATTCCCCCTCCCACCTCCACAGTTCAGTAAAATGTATTTCTTTAAACTGAAAACAAACTTGTCTGCATCTTTTTCTTTCTTTTTATTTTCTTGACTTGGACCTTTCTATTGTACTGGAAGTTACCAGTAATCTTTTCATAATAGCTAAGATTTTTTTTCCACCTGTTTCTCATTTTAAGTTTTTGAAAAAATTACAACACACAACAGATAGTGAATTTTTACGCAGTGAAACCTGTGGTTGTCAGAACTCAAAAGAACTGGTGTGTTTTTCCAGTTCTTGGTAGTTGTCCACCTGTGCTAATGTGCAGTCTTACCACTGCTCTGTCCCTTTTAATTAGTGGGAAGGATTTGCATTTCCCTTCTCTGACCCGTTTCTGCCTGCCATGTGTCTTTCTCTTTACACTTTTACTGTATAAACCACTACAACTTACATGTTCTTTGGAAGACACTTAACAAAAGGGATCCTGTAGTACAGGTTGTGTGATCTCTTTTTAGTTCAGAAAAGTCTATGCAGCATCCAAGGAGCATCTGAGCCTAAAAGAATGAGTATCAGGAACATAAATGCAGTGAATTCATCCCTTCCCCCTGCCTTCGTTACCATCTAAGCAAGACACATTGTGCTCCCTCATAAATCAAGCCTTCCAGCTCTTTAATCTCCTTCCTTGTCATGCCCTGAATTCCCTCCAATATGTGAGTGAGTATCTTAGCCTTCCTCAAACCCAACCAACAAGTTGTCGTCTGAACCACAGCCCCCCTGGAATGACCTGGAGATTTATGTGCTGCTGTGTGGAATTGCCCTGCATAGCTGACCTGGTGTGACAGAGTGCATGTGCTACCTCTAGAAAGATTGTAAGAGTTTGCCTGAATCCACTTCTCTTAAAGTCCAACCTTAGAGAGAGAGAGTGTGTGCGTGTGTGTGTGTGTGTACACAGAGAGAATATAAACAGAATATATCTTTAGAATATCTGTATAACACTTTATATGGAAGCATTTTCTTCTGACATCTTGGCCTATAATAATTTTAAACCTACCAATCCATGGGCATTCGTATGAAATCCTTTGTGTAGCCATTTGAACATGTATGACCAGGTAACAACACTATAGTTCTTACTGCCTGTTCTTTGTCAGTAAGAAAAATGGTAATATGTTTTGATCTATCTCTCCCCAAAGTAGTAGTCTGCTTAATGAATAACTGAATTTATTTGAGCTGATAGGAGAAATTGTACCTGTGCCTGTACTTTTTTCCCAAATTGAACCATTGGTTTTTGTCAACAAAGCATTCATGTTTCTAAAATACCTAATGGGAAGTTCAATTAATTATGTCAAATTGAATAATTTTTCCCAGAATGCTGCTGTTAACTGTATAATTGTCCAGGAGACCGCTGTCAAGTCAACAATGAGGACTATACGATATTTTCTAGGAATTGTATCAGAATAGATGCACCTGTGTGTAGGATTTAGGTGCGAAGAGTGGATGAAAAGAAACTTCCCGACTCAAATAGGAAAAGGAAATATTATCACAGAGCCCAGCTCTGTCTCTGCTGGAATTTTTAGCTGGGCTCTGTGGTGTCATCTTTGACCAGTTGAATGGGAATCTCTAGAAGTGGTACCCAGGCACTAGCACTGGTGCATATACATGTGTGTGTGTGTGTATGATCCCAGAGCTTCCATAGATGTATGTGTGTGTATGTATGTATATATATATATATGTCTCTGTGTGTATATACATATACATATATATATACATATGTTTGTACATAGATATGTATGTATATGTCTTTGTGTGTGTGTATTTGTAACTCTGTTAGCCTAGGTAAGAAGCTGTGCTGCAATCCCAAAGATACACAGTTTGAATCCACTAGCTGCATAGGAGAAATACAGGCAATCTCCTTCTGTGCAGTTAGCTGCCTGTGAAAACCCAGTGGAGAGTCTGGTCTGCTATGGGTTGATTCTAACTCAATGGTACACAACAACTATCTATATATTTGAAGCTGAGATGGGGAATCACTGCAGTAAACAAATGTTGCTGTTGTTGTTAGGTGCCCTCAAATCTTCAGTATGGATTGCATGTCAGTCCACACAACCTGACCAACAAATAACATGAAAAACAGAGGAAAGATTAGAGTTGTCAAGGATTTCTTTTTAATCGGATCCAAAACCAACCACCTCAGATGTCTTATATTTTATTGGCAAATTTGCATCAAAATAAGTCTTTTCATTGTTCAAAAGCAAAGATGTCACTTGGAGAGCTGCGATGCACTTGATCCAAGCCATGTTCTTGTTACATACCGTCAAGTTGGAATGAACTCAATGTCGATCCTCCAGTGGGTTTTTGGGGTCAATCTCACAGAAGATTTCTCCTCCTTCTCCTGCAGAGCGGCTGGTGGATTCCACCAGGTGTCCTCGTGTTGGAATTCCACCAGAGCTCCTTCGCACACGTGCACTTCCTTCACACGTGCGCACTCCCTTCGCACGCGTACACTCTCCTGGCACGTGTGCACTTAACATGTGTGCACTCCCTTCACGTGCACTCCCTTTGCACATGTGCACTCCCTCCACATGTGTGCACTCCCTTCACGTGCACTCCCTTTGCACGTGTGCACTCCCTCCACATGCGTGCACTCCCTTCACATGTGTGCACTCCCTTCACGCACATGCACTCCCTTTACGTGCACTCTTAGCACGTGTGTACTCCCTTCACACACGTGCCCTTCCCCTCATGTACACTCTTTTAGCACGTGTGTACTCCCTTCACACACATACACTCCCTTCACACACGTGCACTCTATTCACACGCATGCACTACCTTCACACACGTTGCACTCCCTTCATGTGCACTCCCTTCACACACGTGCACTCCCTTCATGTGCACTCCCTTCACACACGTGCACTCCCTTCACACACATGCCAAAGCTGGGCATGAGTAAGGAGGCCAAAAAGGTGATGTCTGTGCATTACAGTATTATGGACTGTCCAAACAACAAACCAGCCGGCTACAGTAGTACAGACAGCCAACTAATGTCAGGAAACAAAATGAGTATAAATTATTGCATGGAACACTAATTTGCTCTGTAGTCTTTCACCAAAGCTACTATTTAAAAAACAAAACAAACCACCAGAATTATGCCAGCATGCTCGGTAGATGTGACTTCATCTCACATATTTTGGGTATGTTATTAGACAAAACCAATCCTTGGAGAAGGACATCATTGCTGGTGATGTAGAGGGTCAGAAAACACACACCCAACCAAAAACCACAACATCCACCAAACCCCACCTCTTTGAAATCAGTTGATACAGTAACTGTAACATCAGTTCAAGCAGAGTGGTAATTGTGAAGATGACACAGCACAGAGCAGTGTTTTGTTGTTCTGTACATGGAGTCTCTGTGAGTCAGAACCAACTTACAAAAATATTGGCATTTGCTATATATGTATATTCCTTCGCAATTGTTAACATTCCTGCTAAACTTTGAAGTGTTAACAGCCCTTTTGTTTTGTCTTCTTCTAGGGAAATGATATTGACCCTGAAGCAGTTAAAGGTGAAGTGTTAAAAGTTGGAAATAAGAGCTGTGAGAATATACACTCATATCCTGAAGTCGTTTTATGTACAGTCCCCAGTGACTTGCTGAAGTTGAACAGCGAGCTAAATATAGAGGTGGGATTCCTGTCTTTCTCTCATGATGTGGATAAGGATGCCACAATCATCAAGTCAGTCGCAGGCTGACTATAAGTCAGTATAGTTAATTTTGCCTTGCCTTTAGCTTCTCATTCAGCTGTGATTGAAAGTTGTAATTTTAGAAATACTGAGTTTTGGGTCATACTGGCCCTTTCCTCAGATTTCCTGGGTAGTGCGAGCAGTTAACACACTGGGCTGGAAACCAAAAGGGGAGTGGTTCAAGTCCACAGGGGAGTGGTTCAAGTCCACCCAAAGGCATTTGACTGTGTGGGTCATAACAGGCTGTGACTGACATGGAAAAGAATGGCAATCTCAGAGTGCTTAATTGTGCTTATGCAAAACCTATACATAAACCAGGAGGCTGTTGTGCGAACAGAGCAAGGAAACACTATCATGGTTTAAAGTCAGGAAGGGAGTGCACCAAGGTTGTATTCTCTCTCCATACCTATTAAATCTGTAGCTGAGAAAATTATCTAAGAAATTGGACTGTGTGAAGTGCCTAGAAGGGTGGACAGTGTCTTCGCATGAAGATTTACAGGCTCAGAAACCCAGTGGAGCGTCACTGTAATTCCCTATTTGATGATAGTGTGTTGAGTAGCCTTGAGCCTCTATTTTCCACGTAGAAGCCAAGCATGTTCATGATTTACACCAGCCAGGAACTCCTTGTCCTTAATACAAATTTCAAAAGTAAAAAACAAAAACACTCTGGTTGCTGTTGAGTTGGAACTAACATACAGCTGACCCTCAGGTGGGTTGTCAGAGGCTGTAAGTTCCATGACAGTTGACTGTCCATCTTTCTCCCAAGGAACAATTGTTGAATTCAAATCAACCAACTTTGGGTTAGCAGAACAGCTTCGTACCGATTAGACCCCCAGAGCTCCCTGTACCCATGGTATTAGTTGCAAACATAAATGAGCAAGTAGTATATTTGGCATAAGCTAAAGCAAAGTGCTTTGGAATCATGTAGTGATTTACATTTTGGGCTGCTAACTGAAAAGTTGACTGTTCTAATCATGTGGAAGAAGATAAAACCACATTCTGTAAAGATTTACAGCCTCACAGACCCTGTCCCCATGCGTCAGAATCCCGCTGAAGGTAGGCAGTGTGGGAATCATTGGATTGGAATACTGGAGGAGGGAAGCAGAACGTCTTCTTTTTCTGAAGGCAGTCATGCCGCTTCTTGAAGGCTAACTTCCGGGTGGTGTTTTGGACACAAAAAAAGTAGTTAATCCTGTGCCCTGGCTTTTGTAACCATCTCATCTCGACGCAGCTCTGACTTTTTTTCATTATTTGTTGTTTTTAGTGGAAGCAAGCCGTTTCTTCAACAGTCCTTGGGAAAGTAATCGTTCAACCAGATCAGGATTTCACAGGATTGATTGTTGGTGTTGTCTCAATATCGATAATGCTCATATTATTATTTGGGCTTTTCTTGTTGCTGAAAAAGAGAAGGCAAATTAAAGGTGCATTTTATTTTATTATTTCTTTTTTTCTGATGTTGCCTTAAGAATATGGTCTTTATAGTATAACAGTGCTGTAGATGTTTGTCTTCTCTCTCCTACGTGATCCATAAAGCTGTGATGTTTTGACAGTGGGTCAAAGTCTATGGGGACCCATGGTATCAATCTTTAACAAGCTCTCTCTCTTTCTCTTCGTTTTAAGATCTGGGTGGTGAATTAGTTCGTTATGATGCAAGAGTACACACTCCTCATTTGGATAGGCTTGTAAGCGCCCGAAGTGTAAGCCCAACTACAGAAATGGTTTCAAATGAATCCGTAGACTACCGAGCTACTTTGCCAGAAGGTATAATTTTACTTTATTAATCACCTATATATACACCTCAGTG